TAGGATATCTAATTTTGACTTTCAATAACTTTTAAACAAATAAATTTATCAAAAATTTATAAGATAGATACCTTTTTTTTTAGATTTTTTTTTTTTCCACAGAAATGAATCTTTGATTTGTTTCAAATGTTAATTTTCAAAAATTGTATATTTTCTACAGGTTATGGGCCCAGGGCTAAAAACTAAATTTTTCCTACTTTAATTAAAAAAATAAACAATTTTTTGTTTATTTTCATAAAAAAAAATACTTGATATTTCTCAAAAATTTTAAAGTTTCTACAGGTTATGGGCCCAGGGCTTAAAAAACTAAAATTGCTAAAAAAATGTATAATTTGTTTATTTTTATAAAAAAAAATACTTGATATTGTTTTTATCAATATTAAATATCAAAAAACTAAATTAATAGCTAAAAAAAAATACAGTTTACTTTTTTCCGTGTACGTGTCAATTTTTTTTTTCAATTTTATTTTGCCATAATTTATTTGTTATAAAATTCTAAAAATTATTAATTATATGCTAAATTATTTTGCATTAATTTCCTACAAAAAATATATAGGACTTTTTCCACTACGGTGCTTGTAAAAAAAGATATAAAATTAAAAAAAAATTTTTTTCATGTTATTTAACTTTTAATTCAAATTTTTACATTATATTTATTTGACAAATTATGAAAATAAATTAATAAAAAAAACTTGTTTTATTGACTTTAATATTTATTAAGACATTTTTTATTTGAAAATAAAATCTTAATTTATTAACATAAAAGACGTAATTATAATTAAGAATGAAAATAATTTAAAAGGAGCGTACTTAGAAGGCTTGATCTTCAGAAAGACTAAAAGTAAGCCTTATAAATATTGCAAGAAAATATGTATTAATTATAGCTGTGTCCCCGAGCTGCGTGATGGAGAACATTGAAAGAGAAAAAAATAGATGTAAGATTATTTAAGTAATTTAAATTTTTCATTTCTTTGTTATGTTTATGGAGATTACAAGGACATACATCAGTAGAAAGGGTGTCGGAAAAAAGTACGCTCGGTGCGATGCACTCTAACCTCTGCTCATATCTTCCAGTTTTTTATTCACCGTTATTTATGGCGTTTTTAAAAATCTGTCCCCTGAATAACGAGTCACAAATTTAAACATTTAAACATGCTTTTCGTTTTATCTCTTTGGCTTTGTTTCGGTTTATTCGGTTGTTTTTTGTTTCAGTATTCCATTTTTTGGTGCTGATTTAAACCGTGTGTTGTTGAACTCGAAATCGCTGTTACACAATCCGCTTACCGCTTACCGGCGCTAATACTTATATTAGTTGATGACGATGCATCACGTAATGCGTATTATATGATGCATACGAAAATACACTCCATGCTAACGCTAGTTTTTCGAGAACTCACAACTAAAGTGACACTAAGAATATTTATTTCTAATGGAAACGCTGGCCAACTTTTGATGCTTATAAATAACAATCACCGGATTAGTGATGTGACGTTTATTTAAAAGTCCGTTTTTCTCGGTAAAATTGCTCGCCGGTATGAATTCAAATGCCAGTTACCTATTTACGGCTGTTTTTTTATTTATAAAATCTTTTTAATAAATAAACTTTCAGGGCAATAGAGAAAATATTGAAGAGCAATTTTAACTTTGATAAAAAAAAATTACATAGAATTTAATATTAATAAATTAGCGTACAAACGAACCGCAAACTTGATAATTAAATAATTATTCCTCGGAAGGGAAATATTACTATTTATCAAACAAAAACTTTAAAGTGATGGTTAATTAAAAATATTTAAATAGAATAATAAAACGATTGCTTTTTTGCTGAGTGATACTTTTAAATTAATCGGACAATTTACAATTAGAATACTTATAAAAAAATTAATTCAATTCAAGAGAAACAATTTTAAAGAAAATATTTTAATATTTTTTAAAATAAGTAAAAATTTTTTTTTTTTTTAATGTAACGATTTTAAAGTAAAGACTTATTAATGAAAAGTCTTGACTAAAGTCAATTTATGATAATAAGTATTTAGGCTGCATTCGAAAATGCTCTATCTCTAGATACATAAGAAATGACCTTGTATCTTGTAAACTATTGACATTTTTAAAGATATAAGCTCATCTTGATTTTACACTCATCAAGACCTTTCATTTGAGTACCCATATCAATTTTTCATATATTTATATATATTATATATATATGTATATATGAAAAATATATCAAAATGCATGGGGGTACTCAAATGAAAGCTCTCGATGAGTGTAATATCAGGATGAACTTATATCTTCAAAAATGTCAATCATTAAGAATTGACTTTGCTATCTTGTCAACTATTGACATTTTTTAAGATATAAACTCATCCCGATGTTACTCTCATCAAGACCTTTCATTTGAGTACCCACATCAATTTTTCATGTATTTATATATATTATATATATGTATATATGAAAAATATATCAAAATGCATGTGGGTACTCAAATGAAAGCTCTCGATGAGTAAAACATCGGGATGAGCTTATATCTTTGAAAATGTCAATAGTTAAAAAAGTACAGTGCAATTTAACAAAAGTCATTATTAGTGACTGCAAAGTTGCTAGTAATAAATTAAACGTAAAATAGAAAAAATTTGAAAATTAAGGACGTTTAATTTTAATTTTAATTTTAATTTCTAAGAGGATTAATTCATGAAAAAAATTATAAGAGACCTTTTTAATAATTATTCAAATTTCCAACAAAAAAACAAAATTATAAAAATTATCTTCTTAGTTTTGAATTTTTTCTCTTGAATCAAATAAATTTTTTTTTATCATTAAATTCATTGTATTTATACTCATGGAACAAAGTCCTTTATTCGAATATAATAGCATGTAAACGCATTGCGACTAATAGGGAGCTCGCGAGGGCGCGTGTAGAGTTAAGCCATTGACCAGGTTGCAAAAGCTCTGTACAATGTGTACTCGAGCAGTACCAGACTCGATGCAGGACGAATCGATCGAGTGTAATGTGTATAAACTGAAAGCTCGCGTGCGAATATCCATGTCATTGAGTCTTCAATAAAGTCTTCCACTGCGCTATTAGCTCCCTTTAACATCCAGACAATTGGACTTTGATTACCTTCAATTGTTTGCAGCTCGTTTTTTTGTTTTCACCGTCCGCTGTCTCTCTTTCTCTCTCTCTCTCTCTCTCTTGTTCTCTTTGACTAGTCGATTAATTAACTTTTATTATTTATTTAATTATTATCCTACGCTTGTACGGTCCGCTGGCTTTATCTCTCTGTAATACGTTACGTGCGCTTATTAAATGAGGCTCCATTGGGACTCAGACTAAAATTAGTGTACATCATATGTGTAATGCTGGCAAATACTTGTATACATTCATGTAAATGGAAATTTAAAGGAAACGTGAGGCTAAATGAGAGGACACCGGGCTTTGTAATGTCATCCTAAGCTTTCATACATGTTTAAACTATTTTGGATTTCGCTTCTCTCAGACCTTCTTTGAATAATAATAATAAAAACATCAATAGAAATAATAAAGCGAAATAGACATAACGTAATTAGACCATAAATTAATAATAAAAAATTAATATTGCGGCTAAAAGACACAAGAGATGACAAAATTGATAAGAACCTTTTTTTATAAAATTAAATTTTCTATAAATAAGTATTCTATTTGTTTATATCTTTAATATTTAAGCTGCAATTTAAATTTTAAATAAAAAACTCAATTTAATAACTTTTTATAAATTAAATTGTCAAAATAAATTATAATTAAAAATTAATTTTTTGATTAAAAGATGAAAAATACAATAAAATTAATAAAAACCTTTTTTTAAAAAATTAAATTCGTTATAAATAAAATTTAAAAAAAAATTATAATTAAAAATTAAAATTGCACCTAAAAGCGCAAAATAAATAAAATTGATGAGGAATTTTTTTTTTCTAGAAAGTTTAATTTTCTATAAAAAAATATTTTTATTGTTTTTTTGTATCTTTAATATTTAACCTACAATTTGAACTTTAAATAAAAAACTTGATAATTTAAGTTGTAAATTAAATTGTCAAAATAAATTGTAATTAAAAATTAATATTGCACCTAAAAGACGTAAGATACAATAAAGTTGATGAGGAATTTTTTTTTAGAAAATAAAATTTTCTATAAAAAAGTATTCTGATGATTTCTTCATTAAATGCGCAATTTAAAATTAAAATAATTTTCTAATAATTAAGAATATTAAATAAAAAAAAATAACAATAAAAATCAAAAAACTTAATCAGATAATTGAAAAAAAAAAAAAAAAAAAAAATCAAAAGCCTGGCCAAAAGTACAATTACAATAAAAAGTAATAATATTATCGGTGAATGTAGGTGAGTATCAATGAGGCATGCGGGTGTCGTCGTCACGTTCCCGTGAACTCGTTCTTCAAACGGTCCTTGATATTTCCTATTGCATTCTTGTCTGTGGACTTTCTCGTGTGTTTCTTTGCTCTCGGGAGAGTTGGTGGCTCCTGGTGGTGGTGGTGGTGGTGGTGGTGGTGCTTTAGACTCTTACAGTACACTACACACCGGATGATAAATGGTAAATTGCCTTTTCCAACTAACTATTATCGATCGGTAAAGAGTAAACGCCGTTTATTTTGTCCGTTGCTACTGAGTACTCGTTTATACAACAACTAGCAAGACTAATACTAATTCCGAGTTAAACAAACACATAAACTTAAACTTAAACTAAGAAATAGAGAATTTAGCATACTACGGTGGGATTAGTGTATTGATGGCTTTCGAGTTATTAACTTTCCAAAATAAAAATATTTGACAAATGCCCGGCTAATTGGTTCTCGCTGAAATAAAATTACAATCTATTAGGATGGAAAAGCGGAGGAGAATATTATACAGTGATAGTATTTTATTGAGCAATTGGTTAGCTTTGATTAAACATGATTGGTGATTAACGGGCGAAGAGACTAAGTAAGATTAAGTGGGTAATGAAAAAATGACTAATTGATGTAGCTTGGCCGGGAGTAACCGTCGGGTCCCTCGTCCTCCCAGTATTCCATCGAATCAATGGAGGAGACCCCGGATGCTCGGTACGAGGGGTTCTTGTAGTAGTCCGACAGGTCGTAAGACTTTAGTGACCGTGCAAATCTCGTCCGCTTGACGGATTTTGACTTTTGTTTGGGTTTCCTCTTGGGCTTACTTTTACGACGGGAGGAATCCTTGGATTTTCCGCCACCTTCTCGCTTTGTTTTATCGGTATTTCGGGATTTAAACCGATGACCCCGCTCTGAGACTCTGGACCTTCCGGTAGCTCTGGCATCCACGGTGCTAACGTTGCTCTCACTTTTCCCGCTAGAGCTATCCTGACGATTGCCGCCTGATAAATTTATACGACGTTTTTCTCCCGGCAGGAAATACCGCCCGCGCTTTCGATCCATTATTCCGAATTCAACCCCCCGCTTCAGCGCTGCCACCACCTGATTTATTTAAATAGTAATAAAAGGTTTAGTTTTTAATAATAGATTATTTAAATTACTCATTTTTATACTGATGAAAAATTAATTTGATTTAAAATCTTTAAAATTAATAATTTAAATGGATTAAAATTTCTTTCTTTTTATACTTCATTTTATTTTAATTATTAATTTTTTAAAAAAGCAGTAATAAAATTCTTTAATAAGTAATTTTTGTAAAAAAAAACTAATTAAATTTTAATGATTAATTTTTTAAAAATTAATAATTAAATAAAGAAATTTTTTTTTTTTTTTTTAAACAATTTATTTTTTTTTTCATCAGTATTTATTTAATTTATTTATTTAATTACCTCGCGCTTAGAAGCAGGATACTCAACAGTATCCGAAATATACTCGATGATGTTATTAACAGTACTGCCATTTTCCTCGCCCAAATTTTTCATTGCATACAGCACGAGATTAACATTTCGCGCTGGACGAGATATTTTTTTTCCGCGATTGACTCTCATTTTTATTATTTTATTTTATCGTGTTCTATTTTTTTTAATTACTAATATTAATTAACTGATAATTGATCAACTGGAAATTTATAATTAAATATTGAAGAGTAAAATATATTTTTTCTAATACAGTCACTGATGATTTACAGGAATTTTATGACGGCTGTCATTTTTCATCAATCTGAACTGAGCGTAACAAAAGCGGTCCAATCACTCAGTCTCTTGTTCTCACACGCCATTCAAATAAATTATATTTTATAGTTCATATAATTTTTATTATATGAATTCTCGATTATTTTTCTATTTTTCATCGAGCCCTCGGGCATTAACAACCTAAAAACGATTTTAATTGACAACTAAGCTATTTTTTATTTTCACCCCAATAAATTCACATTTTAATGACATTTGAATCCTAGCTCGTAAAATACTCTTTTTTATTTTTTACTTTTTCTTTTCCTTAAGCGCTGCCTGGTTTTATCGCACTCTTGCAATTTTTTCTTACCTCTAATGGCCACAATTAAATCCCCCGTTAAAAAATCGTTGTTAAATTAATACTACGAATATTGCAATTTTTAAATCTTTCAAAGTTTTAATCGTTCTTAGCGTTTAATAAAAAAAAGTATATTGAGATTAAGAAGTTAGACGCAATTAATAATTTTAGAAAATTTTTTTTTATAAATTTAATTTTTTAATTAATTTATAAAAATATTTGAATTAATTTATTGTATTTAACAAATTATTACTTATATATTTCAATTAAAAAATATTTATAAGTTGTTTTTAAAATTTCAAAAAATTATAAACAACTTAAAAATAAAAATTTTTATAAATGAACAAAAATTTTGATTTATTAAATAATGACTTTTGTTAAATTGCAGTGTAATTTTTTGACTATTGACTTTTTTTAAGATATAAGCTCATCCCGATGTTATACTCATCAAGAGCTTTCATTTGACTACCCACATGCATTTTCATATATTTTTCATATGTACATATATATAAAAATATATAAAATATATGAAAAATTGATGTGGGTACTTAAATGAAAGGTCTTGATGAGTGTAACATCGGGATGAGCTTATATCAAGGTCATCACAATAAGATACAAGGTCATTTCTTAATCATGTATCTAGAAATAGAGCTTTTTTGAATGCAGCCTACTTATCATCATACATTGATTATTGGTGAGAATGATATGAAACTTTGAATAGACACTGATTCAAGTCAAGACCTCTGCAATGACACTAAATTTCACTAAAAAAATCGATTTTACCTTATGAATATCCTGGAGACAAAATTTTTCTTATTCTCTTAATAATATTGATTACTATTAAAAAAATAATTAACCACAATTGATTGCGTCTATGTTAGCACCGCCATTATCAAACCTCACGATCTTCATTATCCTCAGAATGTAATTATCTGTTCACCAGCATACATACGCACTCTACAATTTTCACGGGCCATCGACTCCAGGGAAACAGTATACTATAGTCGGCACGCGAATCGTCCCACTGGTGAATGCATCGCGGAATTTTCAGTCTCACAGCAGAGACGCGTGCATTTAAATTTCAATATGGAATGAAATCGTAGCGCAGGTGTATTCAGTATGAGGATCATCATCAGTATCAAGAACATAACTAAACCATAGAAGTAAGCGAAGTTAGTCTGAGCGTGTATCACAGCCCATCGCTGCATCGCTTAAAGTGCTCATGTAGGGGCTGAGTGTCGCATAATTAACAGCGTTAACCCTCCGTCAACGTTACGGGTTATACATTATGAGGAAGGTTATAAGAGGAGCTACTACACTGGTTGGTTATAGTCCCCATCCCCCGCTGTACCCCATGTGTAGGGGAGACTTAGACGTAGACATGAACGTAGATAAAGATATAGAGGAGAAGGAGGAACACAAGAGCAAGAAGCTAGAAGCCAGCAGAACTAGTCTACCTAGACTTTGCCGTGAAATCCTCGTAGATATATAATTTGATGCGACCCAAGAGGACGAAAGTTTGACTTGGCTCCGGTACAGGAAGAAATGATGATGGTGCTGGTGTGGGATGGAACGGGATGGGAGCATCCAGTCGCTTGGGCACACAATTTTTAGCTCATCAGATGCCTTGACTCGGTTCTTACGTGGATGACAGAATGAGCGAATGAAAGATGGATTAAACTGCCTTATCGCCGGGAACCATAGAAAGTTTGTCACTTGCTCTTTTACCTTTTTTTCTCCTCGGAGTTTTCTTATTTCTCGACAGACTAGATTGAGTCTGGTCTGGCTTCCTGCTTCTAATAATGGAGGGTTATTTCTATTCCGGTGGAATCAAACAGAAACAATGCGGTCTGATCGAGAAGATTGGATCTGGAACGGAACTCGGATAATGACGCTTGACAACACTCAATTCTGACCTATTCCTGATCTGGTCCTATCCTATTCCTGGTCTCTCTTGGAGCACGTGGATAGTCGATTGTATATAGATGTGGCGGAGAGAGTACCGCAACATTATCTCAATGCTCCATTGTCTGATGATCACGTTCTCCGGACGTAATCCTCCGGATATTCGAGAGCTTTACCCGTGAGCGAAATACTCTTGTGCTTGACTACTCGGCTACTCGGCCGCCAACGCCACCGCTAACCCGGTCTGGGTATTCGACTGGAATTTACTGATATCGCGTGTGCGCCAACAGTTACTCTGAGTTTCGCTCCTGGGACGTGAGATGTGAAATTAGCTATTTTGATAACTAAATACTTTGGTTATTATAAGATCTTATTATCATCTACACTACGCCTCTCAAACTCGCTCATTCATTATTATAATTATTATTATTAATTCTGCAAGAACAAAAAATTTCAGACTTTTTTGTTAATTTTAATCTATATTATCAAGAGAATAAGAAAATAATGTCTCCAGAATAAAATCAGTTTCAAGGTTTCATTTCATTCTCACCGATAGACATAATTAAAAAATGACCTTGTATCTTGTCAACTATTGACATTTTTAAAGATATAAGCTCATCTCGATATTACACTCTTCGAGACCTTTCATTTGAGTACCCACATCAATTTTTCATAAATTTATATATATTATATATATATATGTATATATGAAAAATATATCAAAATGCATGTAGGTACTCAAATGAAAGCTCTTGATAAATGTAACAGCAAGATGAGCTTATATCTTTAAAAATGTCAATAATTAAAAAAGTACAGTGCAATTTAACAAAAGTCATTATTTAATAAAGCAAAATTTTATTAATTTATAGTTCACAAGTCACATAGTGACTGCGGGGTTGCTAGTATTATTAATATATCTTTAAAAAATATTTATTTTGGTCTAATTTAACTCTGATCAAGGCAATAAACTAAATGAAATTTAAAAATTTTGATTAAATAAAGCGTGTTTTTTACTTATTCAAGCTACAATTTATTTCGTGATGAGCCGGCCAGTAGAGAGGCCAAAAATATGAAACAATACACCGGAAATTTAGAACATTTTTAATGCAAATGTCGGTAGCCCTGAAGCTCTTTGTCCCTTTTTCCTTTTCCGTTTATTATCACTTGTACTTTATTTTTTCCGGCACTCTATCTGTTCCCGAGCCTTTTACTTTAACTTTGTCCATCTTTTTTTGTTGATACCGAGATAAGTGCACTTTGGCCACGTAAACTGTGTTTTGAAAGTCTAATTCTTCATCTCACATACATCCATAGTAAAATATAAAATTTCAATACATTTGCATCGAGCGAAACGATTCGCCGTTTAATTATGCACATCTTTATCTTTATCTTTATCTTTTTTCTCCAGTATACGTATTTAGATTATTTTCCTGAAAGCTCAGTACGTGAATAATTGATCCAGACAACAAATGGAGTCGAATGAAAATCGATAAAAATAACACTAAATATTTAGTATATATATTTGTAAGCTTTATTTATTTATTCGATATTATTTTTTATTGAAAACGATTTTCCGTAAAAGTAACTTGTGAGTAACCGCAGTTTTAATCGGTTACCGGGGACCTGCTGGCTATTGGAATTCCTCGGGGATTTATCTGGAACCGACTCCCCGGCACATATGTGGTAGCTAACCGTCACTGCGATCTACACTCTGTACTCAAACTATACATGATACAATGATACAGACATAGACACAGTACAGACACAGACTCAAGGGATTGATTCGTTCGGGGATCACGCGCATTCATTGTTCTCTCCCGTGTCCTGTGGAATATTGAGTACGCGGAGATAAAAAAAGGCATCAACAACACCAAGATACCATCCACCCTTCACCCCTTACCCTCCTTACCCTTATCCTCTACCTGTCTCTATCTACTGGCGACACATATACAGTTATACATCCCGGAATTTTAATTCTGGGTTTCGGAATCCGAATATAAAACCAACCAAAAATAAAATACGACAATTTGTGGGATTTTATCGCGATTGACTCGTTCGCTGTATGCACTCTAATTGGCTTTACGTTTACGCTTTTTTCCATACAAATTAATTATTTTCTATTCTCCCTGTAACCTCCAAACTCCATACACTCTACTTCATCATCTCTCTTCTACATTTTGGCTTTCAATAATCCTTTATCTTCCCACAAACCGAATAAATTCCTATGAACTTCATTTTAAATTTTATTATTATTATTACTAGCAACTTTGCAGTCACTGTATGACTGCCGTGACTTGTAATTTATAAATAATTATAGTTTTGCTTTATTAAATAATGACTTTTGTTGAATTGCACTGTACTTTCTTAAATATTGACGTTTTTTAAGATATAAGCTCATCCCGATGTTACTCTCATCAAGAGCTTTCATTTGAGTACCCACATGGCATTTTGATATATTTTTCATGGATACATATGTATAATATACATAAATATATAAAATATATGAAAAATTGATGTGGGTACTCAAATGAAAGGTCTTGATGAGTATAACATCGGGATGAGCTTATATCTTTAAAAATGTCAATAGTTCACCAGATACAAGGTCATTTCTTAAATATGTATCTAG